AAAAGAATGGCCTGGATTTAGTCTGGAGGCCAGACTCCAGTGTGTGGAGTAATGTCTTCTCGATCTGCTGTTAGCGAACCCCAGGAGCTGTGTAATCCCCAGCAGCAGCACAGTGGGTCATCGATGGATCTGGTCACTAATGTGTGACTTATAAAGGGATAACTTGGCTTCAGACAAATGATTATCAGAAGTGACACCCATTTTGCCTGCCACCTTGGAAACTATGGCTTTTATTTTCTAGTGTCTTTTCCTTATTCTCTTCAATGGAACACATGTATGCACAGGAGTTTCTTATTTTCATTTTGGGGATTTTTTTGCTTGTTTTTTTCCCCTTGCTAACTGACATCCATAAATCAGATGGAGACCATTTTACCATTTGGGTATTTTAGAATCTTTTTCCTTGCCTGTGACCCTGAATAAAAGAAGTTCTCTTAGAATTTACAATTATGAGCATACTTTAAGTAGAGGGGAAAAACACTTTTTCTCAGAATAATTGAGCAAAGATAAGAACAGCTGGAGAGGAATTTCCCCACCAATGTTTGGATAGTTCTGCTCTGTTTCTGACATCCAGTGTCAACTTGAGCACATGTAAATGCTTCTGACAGTCCATTAACTAGACCCGCCCTCACTGGAACAATCACCTAGTTCTGGGCACTATACTGTGGGATTTTTGAGGAACCATGGATGCTTTGGAAGTGGGTTATCTTTATAAAATACAAGAACATTAAAGACAGAACTTATTGTCACTTTCATCATAAGAATGCAAAATTCACAGCATAGCTTGAGGATGCTGCCCAGAAACCACCCAAGTAGCTAATGGTTTGCACCAGCTCTGCAGTGTTGCTTTTAGTGCTTTAGATAATTACTTTCTCTTGGGGGTCAAAGAGAGAAATGCTAATGAAGACAGACTATATGGAATGTGTGTCTTTTCTCTGTAAGGATTGCTTGATTTTGCAGATCATGTTACTAAAATGATTTTTTAAAATAGTTAACACTGTTGATCACATCTTGATGGAACTCTATGGATAACCTATGAAAACAATGAGTGAAATACTTCCACTCATTCTGGCCGAGAGGAGTTTTTGTTTCTTTCCTTTAGTAAGCTTTCCAGAGAATTCCAAAGCTCTCCTCCTAAACCCAACATCTCCCACTTGGGAGGTCAGGTCAGTGCTCTGGCTGACTGTCTTTGGAAAGCCTGATAGTGAGGAGGAGGCTGACCCCTGTGGGGAAGAGGTGCCCCTGTGCCCAGAGCCAGGGTTCACGCTGATGTTGGCGGGGTTTAAACACTTGGGAGGTCAGGTCAGTGCTCTGGCTGACTGTCTTTGGAAAGCCTGATAGTGAGGAGGAGGCTGACCCCCGTGGGGAAGAGGTGCCCCTGTGCCCAGAGCCAGGGTTCACGCTGATGTTGGCGGGGTTTAAAGGGGAAGAGGTTTTGAATAGAGAGATGAATCTGGTGCTCTCTTAAGGGCGTTTCTACAGATCACAGATATTGAGCCAAGATTTCCAGGCTTTTCACCACGAGTCACATTAGAGCAGTTTCCATAGCAAAATGAAAATGTTTTAAGAATCTTTCAGCAACCCCATTGAGTAATGCACAATCGTCATATTTAAGAATTCGTGGGGCGTTTTTAACAACAGATTCTTCAGAACATCTCTCAGTTGGCTTCATTGACCTCTTACCCTTCATATATTCCAAGAATGTCTATGCCAAAATAAATGAAAAGCAATCGAGGGGGGTTGGAACTTAGGTAAATTTACTTGATGACCAGTTAATATGCTTTTAAACGTGGGCCCATAAGTGACCAAAGCAATGCACATGTACGTCAACTAACGCGATGCCTCTTGACACTTCTATCAAATTAGTCCTCCCTAAGGTTTTTGTTTTTAAATATAGTTTTTCTGAATTGAGGATATTTCTTTGTTCATTCTTCCCTTTTTTCATGTTTCACGGCAGCTGCCAAACATTCGTCATTCTTCCTCCGATTTCCTTTATCCCAAAAGTCTGATTCGACGCACAGGACGGTCTCCGTCTCTGCAGGTTAGCGGCTGTGTCCAGGCTGCAGCTGGGAGCTGCTGCCCCGGGCCAGGCTTCTGTCGCTTCTCCCCCTGTGCTGCTTTTCTCACATAACTTCTCTGGCTCCTGCAGAAGGCAGATGCTTTCCTCACCTCACGAATGCACCTCACACTCTGGTTCTGGCTGTTTTCTTCTCTGATCGAGGTTTTCATCAGGAGCAGTGGCTAACGTGTTATCATTGCAGCAAGCACACCGAAAGCTGCCAGTGTCCCCCTGTTTGCTCACTGAACAAGTATTGGCCAAGCACCCTGGTACAGTGTGGGGCTGGATGCTGCAGATCTAGCCCCGTAGGGAGGAAAAGACAGATAAACGATCATAGCAAGGTACAGAAACACATCACAGGCTGTGGATCACACAGATCATGTTCTTTGGAATGTCAGATGAGGGAAAGGTATCAAGGGGCAATTGAAACTTGGAGGTTGGATGAGATTTGGACACATGGAGACGAGGAGAAAGGAGTAGGCCTGATGAGGGAACAGCAGAAGCTGGAGCTGGGGAAGAACAGAGTTTGGGTGGGGGTGGTTTGGCTCAAGAAAGTGGTGACATGGGAAAGGAAGCCAGTGAGAGCAGGCACCTACTCTGCAGAAGTTGGGGGATTTACCTACGCTCTCACTTGCTTTCCCTAGGAATTCCTGTGATGGAGCTAATATTATTCCCATTTTACAGTTGAGGAGACTGAGGCCAAGATCCGTTATTGTTAGGTAAATTCCCCAGAGTTGCCCCACTGGTAAGTGGAAGAGTCAGGATAGAAACCCAGCCTTCTGTGAGCCCAGAACTCACGTTCTTTCCTCTATACCTCAAGGGGACAGTGAGAGAGAAACCTGGGAAGACAGAGGAGGAGAGCATTAAATCCTGGCTGAGGCTGCTGTCAGGGGCCACTGATGGAGCATAAGGAAAAAAGCAGCATGCCCCTGCCCAGGGCCAGCCAGCCTGCCGGACAAGCCCTGCACAGACTTTACCTTCTTTAGGGGTCTCTGAGAATCAGTGGAAACCTTGGCCTGTTCAACTATGAGCCACTTTCCATAGTGCCATCTTGGCTCAGCTGAAACCCATTCTGTAGCTCTGCTGACGATTCAGGATGGCAGCGCAGCATTCCAATCTGGGCTCCGTGCCTGCCCCCTTCTCCTGTGCCTGCCAGAGCCGCACTGAGTTTGAGTTTCTGTCTGTTTTGAATAAAACATCCCATTCTGGGCTGGCCCGGTGGCGCACTGGAGAGTGCGCTGCTTGGGAGCGCGGCGGCACTCCCGCCGAGGGTTCGGATCCCATGTGGAGACCGGTTCCCACTCACTGGCTGAGCGCGGTGCGGGCGCAACACCGAGCGAGGGTTGCGATCCCGTTGCCGGTCAGTAAAAAAAGACAAAAAGGAAAAAAAAAAATAAACATCCCATTCTTTCTTTAAATGACTTGAGAGATGGAAGTATGGAATTTTGGAGTGGAGAGAAACCTTTTAGAGGTCGATCCCCTAAGTTTCTCCATCTGTAGAATGAAGTCAGATGGAGCCGCAGGCCTGGGGCTATCTGNCTCAGCTGAAACCCATTCTGTAGCTCTGCTGACGATTCAGGATGGCAGCGCAGCATTCCAACCTGGGCTGCATGCCTGCCCCCTTCTCCTGTGCCTGCCAGAGCCGCACTGAGGATGAGAGTTTGGGTTTCTGTCTGTTTTGATTAAAACATCCCATTCTGGGCTGACCCGGTGGCGCACTGGAGAGTGTGCTGCTTGGGAGCGCGGCGGCGCACCCGCCGAGGGTTTGAATCCCATGTGGAGACCAGATCCCATGTGGAGACCGGTTCCCATTCACTGGCTGAGCGCAGTGCAGGCGCAACACTGAGCGAGGGTTGCGATCCAGTTGCCGGTCCCCGGTACGGGCGCAACACCGAGGGTTGCAATCCCGTTACCGGTCAGTAAAAAAAGACAAAAAGGAAAAAAAAAATAAACATCCCATTCTTTCTTTAAATGACTTGAGAGATGGAAGTATGGAATTTTGGAGTGGAGAGAAACCTTTTAGAGGTCGACCCCCTAAGTTTCTC